AAATATCAGTAATTAATTAATTGTTCTTTTTTATTCGGAAGGGGGCGGCGGTAGGAGGATGCAGTCATGTGCTACTTTTAATATGCCCCCTGACCTTTTACATTGTAAAACCTCGGGTATCAATCGTGAATCCAAGCATTTTTTCCAATGGGGGAGGGGACACGCTCATCAAAAAATCTGATTCAAAACTCGGGGTGACTCCATGAGCACCCCTCCCCCTCCTGATCATCTGCACATGCTTATGATGGAATCTGGAAATAGGAATTTTAATGAAACACTTGTTTTCAAAAAAAAAAAAAAAAAGGAAAAAAGATAAATGCTTAGAATTGAACTACAGACATCTTTACTTAAGGCCAGACGACACGTTACTCAATTATATGTTTTGTATTGTATACCTTGGTATTATATCAAAAATTATTCATAATTGTCATTGTCTTGTGATTTCTTAATCGTTTTCAATATGTTTAAAAATAAGTACACCAGTAATTGTAACATTGGCAATTCAAAAGATTACCTATATGGATTATATAGGAAATATCACTCTCTGGTATCTTGCCAAATGCCTGATAGGGTACCTCAATTTTTGGTGAGGAAACTTGTTTAAGTAGCAATACTTCAATGGCAAATTCTTGGGAAAAATTATATATTTTTGAGAAACGCGTCGTCTGACCTTAAGATATTCCTATGACGTTTTTGGTTTACACACTAAGACGTATCTTAAGATACTCCTAAGATACATGTATGTCCTAAAAAATATCCTTAGACACGTCTCAAGACAATTCTAAGGATTATTTTTTTTTACATGACATGAGCAGTATGTGCACTGATGCGATGCGAAATTTCGTTCACAAGTGCGTGACTAAAAGAACAACAAACAAGTTGACAAAGAAAACGCAAGGCATGCCCATTGCTAAATTTGAATTATCTTTTCTCCTCTTCAGAAAGAAAGGTTGAAAATGTTGATAGTTCCGAAATTTGAGAATCGCCAAGTCAGTTTATAATGGTCGCCAATTTCGCGACTTGTAGAAAATTTTAGGCGTCAATCAAATATTTTAAGCCCCACGGCGACTAAATTAGTCGCCAATTAGAGCCCTGAGGACTAAGGTTTGTTTTTCTTGCTATTAAATGAATGAGTCAACCATTGTTTCGTACATGTTCTCAATAGTTAGATAGATGAATATGAGAGAGAGAGAGAAATTTTCACGGTATGGAAAAATCATAATTGCTCCCTTTTCCTTAAGACAAATGCGATACTCTGTCACATTTCGACCCCTACATCTACCGTATTCTGAATTCTATTGTCTCTATATTATTTCGAAGATTTTTTCTTTTGAAAGGGGAAAAAATCATGAAATTCAATTGATTTCTTTGAAATCAATTGAATTTCATGATTTTTCCCCTTTCAAAAAAAAATCTCTAAAAAAATATAGAGACAATAGAATTCAGAATATTATGGTAAAAAAAAAAATACAATTTGAAAAAAGTTGATGACCCCCATACAATTCCCCAAACTGACGTTCTGCACGTCTAGTTGACTCGTGTCAGGTGCAGGACTAACCCTCAAATCACAAGCAACTATGGTGTCCATAAGATTCTTAAATTTCTGTAACACAAAAATGGCCCACACACAGTTTATCACATCCCACCCCGACCCTTATCAAATGAAAATGATCTGATTGACACAGCATTAGGTTTTAAGTAAACTCTGTGTCTAGTTAGATTCTTCTCTCTGATACAGCTATGGCTCACACCAGAATTCCAACATTTTTCTCCTTGTGACCTTGTCTAAATAATACCTGATAAAAGTCATAACACAAAATATTTTCTCTGGAGACTGTGTTCAAGTAATACCAGGTCAAGGTCATGACAAACCCATGGTCATGTCCATCTCTGTGTAAGATATAAGCAGAAGCCATGTAAATGCTTTTTTCAAAGTTACGGCCATGACATGGCAATCCCTCCTCATAACATAAACAGACAGACAAGGCAATTCCTATATACCAGGGCCAAGCTTAAAAAATTCTTGGTTTGCAGTTGTCAACCTAAATTTTTAAAATGGGCGGTAATTTTTTTTATTTTTCTAAAAAAATGTAGTTTTCAAATATGTTTTAACTAACAAAAATAGGCTTACTTAACATAAGCTCCTCTTGTTATAAGTCGCTGATTGATAATACCAAAAATCGAAAATGAAACATGCAGTTTCACTATCCTGAAAGCTTGAAGCTTAAAAAAAATAATACAAAATAGCTGGAAAAAGTTTGGGTCAGGTGCATTTTCAGTGGGTCACTAGGCAGCTGAAAAAAATTATTTTAGGCCCAGGCTCTTCATTTGCAGGGGTAAGATAACACTGATAAGGTAACACTTTTATCAGTTAAAGATTATGTATTTATTTCTCAAAGTGAGGAAAACACACATAATAGTATTCACAATCAAGTACTTTACAACAGTGACCCACAAACACGAACAGACAAATATCTATATCATATATTTAAACTGATACTGATCCAAAAACCATAATCAGACACATTCTAATACAAAAAATCTTAAAACAGTGAATCACATTCTATGAAAGTAATGATTACTCAGTGATCAAGAAACCATAATCACATGCATAATTGAACTGCCATAACCAAACTTCTACAATGTTTTGAACAAACATTCTATGACAGTGACCCACAATCCATGAACAGACACATACATGTATATATGACAGTGTTCAACAAAGCATGAACATTTTCATATATATGTATGCATATACACAAATGTCTTTACTCAAAGGCACAAAAAGTCATGAACAAACTACAGGAAAAATGATAGAACAAACAATATATGACAGTGACCCACAACCCATGAACAGACACAAACACTTATATATGACAGTGATCAACAAACCATGAACATTTTCATATATATGTATTCATGTACACAACTGTCTTAACTCAAAGACACAAAAAAAGTCATGAACAAACTACAGGCAAAATATGAGAACAAACAACCTACGACAATGACCTACAATCCATTATAGAACAAACAATCTATGACAGTGACCCACAATCCATGAACAGACTCATACATGTATATATATGACAGTGATCCACAAACTATGAACTTTTCATATATGTATGCATATACACAAATGTCTTTACTCGAGGACACAAAAAGTCATGAACAAACTACAGGAAAAATGATAGAACAAACAATATATGACAGTGACCCACAATCCATGAACAGACACAAACACTTATATATGACAGTGATCAACAAACCATAAACATTTTTATATATATGTATGCATATACACAAATGTCTTTACTCAAAGGCACAAAAAGTCATGAACAAACTACAGGCAAAATATTAGAATAAACAACCTATGACAATGACCTACAATCCATGATAGAACAAACAATCTATGACAGTGACCCACAATCCATGAACAGACACATACATGTATATATATGACAGTGATCCACAAACTATGAACATTTTTATATATATGTATGCCTATACACAAATGTCTTAACTCAAAGACACAAAAAGTCATGAACAAACTACAGGAAAAATGATAGAACAAACAATATATGACAGTGACCCACAACCCATGAACAGACACAAACACTTATTTACATGACAGTGATCAACAAACCATGAACATTTTCATATATATGTATGCATATACACAAATGTCTATACACAAAGACATAAAAAAGTCATGAACAAACTACAGGAAAAATGTAAGAACAAACAATCTATGACAGTGACCCACAATCCACCATGAACAGACACATGCATGTAAATATGACAGTAATCCACAAACCACATATACATGTATGCATATACACAAATGATACAAAAATACATAAACAAACTACAGAAAAAAAATTGTAAAATGTTAGAACAATAAATAACCGTGACCCACAATCCAAGAAGTTGAACCGATATGACAATGACCCACAAACTATACACAAACTATGGGACAACCAATATACCAATATATAGAAATATTTACCTCCTGGAGAATATTGATATACAATTCAAGCTTTGATACTATAATTAACAAGCATTTTGACAATCTAAAAATAAATTATTAAATTTTAGAACTAAGATTTGATTTTATTAACTTTGTTAGTGTAAAAATCCTTCAAAAAATCACACAAAATACGAAATCTGATGTACAGGTTCTAGACAGACATTACTTGAAAAATTGATGTCACTTTATAATTCTTTTTTTCCTATAGAATAGATATATATTTTATCACCTCTGGCTTGTGAACATGACTGTTTAGTCTTTATTTATCATTTATTGCATAAATATTTACATTTCCAATGTCTTTGTCCGAGATAAAATTACAAATTGTAAAAATACTTTATTTCTACATAAATCTACTAGTTCATCGATAGGCGCGGTTAAAAAAAATCACGTGCGGGGCGGGACAAATAGAGACAGAAGCGGGGCTATTAGCATGGGAATTTGCAGAATCAGGAGCATGTAAATATTAGGAATAAATGTCAGATTTTTTGGATTCATGACGATGATCAATCGATTGGCTTGCGTGATAATTTTATGCATAAACGCCTTTGGTGTTTATGCAAATTATCACGCAAGCCACTCGATTGATCACATCATGAATCCAAAAAATAAGACAGTTATTCCTTAAATGAGTTTTAATAAAACATAATTTCACCACGCGAATTTAATTTCTTGTTCGTCGCACATCTGGTGAAAAAAGTAAGAGCGGGCAAGAGATTAAATAATAATATTATTACTTTTTTGTACGCAAAATTTTTAGGCATAACATGAAAAAAATTGAGTGACAATTATATTTTTTCTACTTTTTTCTGATTTGTAGAGTAAACAGATTTAAATTATCAAAAATAGAGCGGAAATAAAACAGAAACTGGCACAGAATTTCCCAGGTGCAGGAGATTTAAATTAATATTATTTGTATAGCTTTGTTCAAATAAGAGCGTGCGGGTCCGACAAGCAAAACATTAAATTGGAATGGCCTTTGTATTTGATTTTATTTATGAAAATTGATAATGGCACATGTCACATATTCACATCAAAACTTATCACATTATCACTTTTGGAATTGCAAAGCAGTGTATCAACAGACTTTTCATATTTGAAACTAATTATTTTTTTTTCTGCATAATAAAGCATAATTCAAAATGTACCGGTAGTATTTTCAGATTAAGATGGACTTAACTGTAGAAAAAGACAGTTTTATATTCAGTCCACATATCAGCTTCAGAGCAAATAATTAACCACACACACATGAACACCATTAGGGTCTTGGCTTATCTGCGGAAAAAGTTTATATTCTGCAAAATGGTCTTCACTGGTTTGTGGAACATGTGCAAGTTTTCCATCAGGGTCTGCCTCAATAATCCACTATAAGGAACATGCAAAGAAGAACTGACAATGTAATATAAGTTATGCTACAAGTCTTGTATTGAAATTTCCTCCTATATTTCAGAAGAGTTACACATACCTGTACTAAATTGCCTAAGCTGTTGAACATGTGAATTTACAAGGTCCTGACTAGTCTGTAAAATCTGTGGAACATGTAGAAATGCTGCAACAGGGTTTGCCTCCAAAATGCTTCCTATAATATATGTGCAAAACAAAATTAATTGTGATTATATTTATGCCTGCAACTACATTCAGATACCTTTAATGTAAGCTATTTCGATGCATTTTGAATAGAAATTTAACATGCTATTAAATAAATGTTTTTAACATAAAATAAATTAATAAAAAGTATCAAATAAACTAATTGTTTTTTTATATAACACTAAACAGCAAGGGCAATGGTCACCCAGGTGTAAATTGTATAATCAACTGAGAAGTCCTATTAGGTAGACCCTAATTGTAAGGACCATTATGACAATCTATCAAAGGATCTTGGATCAGGCTAAACAAGAAATATACTAAACTTCAAAGTTCGCAGAAATGTTCTTTCTATAAATATCTACTTGATGGGTTTTACCTACCGTATTATTTAAGAAGTTCAATTCTGACTAAGTTTCAAAAATGTATATCAAAGTTAAGATTATCTTCACACCTTTTAGCTATTGAAACTGGATATAATAAAGCAAACAGATCCCACTGGAAATGTTTTTTGTGTCATACTTGTGTCGAGCATTAATATCACTTTCTACTAGTATGTCCTGTTTATCGAGATTATCAATGCAAATTATTTCTTTTTTAAAAAACATCCATACGTATAAATTACTGCAATTGTTCAATACTAAGAACTTTAAGGATATGTGTAACCTAGGTAAATATATTTATTATAGCATGAGGCAAAGAGGTGATCCTGTACATATAATCAAATATCAGCTGTCTCATTTAAAGTCATCATTTCGTAAGTTCTATGGTTGATACAATGACCTTGTCAGCAAATACAATTTATCATTAAGTCAAATGCTGACTGACGTTTTTCATACTAATTGTTAGACCATTATTTACACACTGAATTGTCGACGGATTTTTCCGTTATTTCCCAATCATGACAAGGAGCACACGGCGGGTGTGACCGGTCGGCAGGGGATGCTCACTCCTCCATGGCACCTGATCCCACCTCTGATGTTTGGAGGTCCGTGTTTGCTCTGCTCCTATTTTTTATTGTATAATGGACTTTTGAGCTTGAATACTGTTCGTTATCTCCATATAAGGTGATCTTGTAATCCAATAATAATAATCACTCTAACCTTGTCTTAGAGGTATTATTTTCAATAATTTACTTTATTTAGGCCAAAAAAAATAATAGTCTTGTTTTTTTTTAAATTTTGGAAGAAAAAAATCTCGAATTTCCGGAATTTCATTGTTCTTTCACCATAATCGTTTTCTGTGTTAACACAAAACAAGCATTTCATGAAATTCTTTTTTTTTTTTTTTATTATCCATTGTATAACATACAAAATCAAGTTAAATTAGCAGCAAAATTACAATGGATATTTAGCACTCACACACCCATTCATACATCCATTTGCCTTTTAAATTAATATGGAGGTTGCTTCATAGTAATCAGCTTATCAACAATTGTTTCTATCATAAACTAAATATCAAAAACTTGTCAAATTATCTTACATTTGTTCAAAAATATTTTTCCACAAAATCCATTGTTCTTCAAAATAAAACAGTTTTGAGTTACTAATAGACATACATCTTTCAATATTGCGTTTCATTTTCAAATAATTCAGTAAACCAGTAAATGAAGGTATTTTTGGTTGTAGTAAACATGAAAAAATATATTGTTTTGTATATAGTATCATAAAGTTTTCAATTCTGTTGTCCTTAGTAAGTGGTAATTCACCTAGGATAATATTTTTGACATTGAATCCAACTCTTTTTGAAATTGTTCTGTATATATGTAAACTCAAGTTCCTCCATAAAGATACAATATGATCACAACTGACAAATACATGCAGTAAAGTTTCAGTTTCCTGAGCACAGAACTTACAAATGTCAGTAGATTTTATATTAATTTTCTTAAGATAAGAATCTACAGGGAGGATCCTATGTAGAATTCTATATTGTAGCCACTGTACAGAAGAATCGGAGGTTAGTCTTAAAACAAACCTTAAAAACATCTTTAATACAAATATCTGCCACTCCATAGGGAGATAAGTCTTGATTCCACTTTGGAATTGCTGTAGGAATTATATCATTTTTGTTTATATAATTGTAAATTTTCTTTGTACATTTTTCATAGTGAAAAATCTTTTCAAAATAAAAAGGTAAATTAGGTTGAAAATGTTTTTTCAAACTCAGTCTATCTATTGACATATTCTTTAAAAATTTAGAAATGGCAGAAACTGTGCTATTATACTGCATTAAGCTTACATTGGAAATACTGAATTTTTCTTGGAAGGCAGATTTTGATAAAAATTTACAATCTTCTGACAAAAAATCTCCAATATTTTTAACTCCACTTTTATACCAATTTTCTATAAAAATACTCTTATTATCTACCTTAATATTTGAATTATACCATATAGGAATATTACAAGCCTTGTATTCAATATGAACATCCTGATCTACATTCTTCAGAACATGTAACCATGAGGTAAAAACATCAAACCAGAAAATATTGTTTCGAGGGATTAGACTATTTAAAATAAAAGCATCACCGAAATCCATAAATTTGTTTACAGCATCATTACCATTAATTCCAAAAAATATGTCTAGCCATGGCTTATTACTTTCTGTTACCAATCTTTTGACCCATGTACATTTCAATGATTTTATGAAGTAATCAACATTTAACATCTTTAATCCTCCAGATAAATAATCTTGAGTGACTATATCTCTTTTAACTCTATCAATTTTTGATTTCCATATGAATTCAAAAAGGTCTTTACACAATAAAGATATTTTATCATAGCTAGGGGTAGGAAGGGAAATAAATAAATGAGTAAGTTTTGGCAAAATGAGCGTTTTTACAACGGTGACGCGACCAATAGGTGTAAGTATTCGTCTTTTCCATTGTTGTATCATTGATTTAATTTTTGGTAAAATAAGTTTATAATTTATGTCAATAATATTTTCTAGCTCTACAGAAAAAGTTATACCAAGCAAATTAAAAGTTGTGGATCCCCAATCTAGTTTCCATCTTGAATGATGATAAACTTGACATGAAAATTTTTTCGAGCCAATCCAAATAATTTTTGTCTTTGAACTGTTTATCTTTAAACCGGATATTTGTGAAAATAAATCCAATGTATCAAGAGCAGCAAACAAAGATTTTGGTGAACCATCAAGGGCAAGCGAGGTATCATCTGCATATTGAGAGATTTTGTGTTCTTTTTCATTTACTATTACACCTTTTATATCTCTGTTTTGTTTTATGAGAATAGCCAAAATTTCAGCACAAAGGAGAAACAAATAGGGAGCAACAGGATCTCCTTGCCTACAACCTCTTTGAATAGAAAATTGTTCTGATAAAAATCCACATTGTAAAACTGAAACTTTAAAATTTGTATTTAGGATCTTAATCCAGTCGATAATGTTCTTTCCAAAACCAAAATACTTTAAAACTATATACAGAAAGGGCCATGAAATTGAGTCAAATGCTTTCTCAAAATCAATTAGCATCAACAGACCAGGAATATTATTTAACTCTGTGTAAGACATTAAGTCATAAATAAATCTGGTATTTTCCCCTATATATCTACCTTTAATGAAACCTGTTTGTGTATCAGAAATAAGAAATTCTAGAGTAGACTTTATTCTACAACTTAAACATCCAGATATAAGTTTATACAAGACATTTAATAAAGTAATTGGACGCCAATTTTTTAAAAACTGTCTTGGTTTATCACCTTTGGGTATACAGGAGATAATCCCAAGTCTTTGAGAAATTGGAAGTTCTTTCTTTGAAAAAATACAATTAATTGCATTTAAAATATAACATTTCAAATCTATCCAAAAGAATTTGAAAAACTCAGCAGTAAAACCATCACTTCCTGGTGACTTATTATTTTTGAATTCATATTCTTAAGTACATCTAAAACTTCACTTTCTTCTATATCATTCTCAAGACTATTAGAAGTCATCTCGTCAAGTTTTTTAACTTCAGCTGGATCAATAATATCAGTTAAATCCATATCAATACATTCTGACTCTTTATTTGAATACAGATCTTCATAGAAAGATTTAACTTGGTTTAAAATTTCAAATTGATCATAAACAGTATGTTGTTCATCTATCTCAACCCTTTTAATAATTTTATTAATATAGTTTCTTGATTCTAAATTGCAAAAATATTTTGTTGGTTTTTCACCCTCTTCTACCCACCGAGCACGTGATCTGATTAAATGGCCTTGCATTTTAACTTTTCTTAAATTTTCAAGGGTAGCTTTTTTATCTTCCAAAATATCTGCATTATTATTATTATCATTATTTGTTTCCAATCTTTCTATTTCTCCTAATAGGGATTTTTCTAACCCCTCTCTCTCATTTTTCTTAAATGAAGAATAAGAAATAGTTATTCCCCGTATTTCCATAAGAAGAATTTCAAGGAATAAACGGTCATCCATACTTTCAACAAGAATAGCATTTCTTTCAATGTCATTTATGTTTTGTAAATATTGACCCCTAACCCTTTCTATAGTTTGCTTCACTTTTTCAACATATACCTTGTCATTCAGTAAACTATTATTAAACTTCCATAGACCACGACCTTTAATGAAGGGATTGAATTTTAATTCTAAAACAACAATAGAATGATCAGACCTGTACCCTGGTTTAACAGTGAATTCTTCAACAACATTAAATAGACCTTCAGATATTAAAATATAATCTAAACGGCCTTGTTTGACAGGGTTTTTTTTCCTCCATGTGAACACTTTCTTTTCTGGATTTAAAATCCTGTAATAATCAATCATTTGTAAATCTTCCATAACTTCTATCAATTTTTCGCGAGCCATTGGATTATTAACATTTGCATAATTATATGTATCTACTTCTGGATTAAGAGCAAGATTTAAATCACCGCATAGTACAAAATATTCGTTGTCAAATTCTAGAAAAATATCTCGAATCTTTTCATAAAATTCCGGACAGTCAGTATTTGGTCCATATACATTTACCAGGGTTAACCTATTGTCTTCAATGGTAATATCAAGAGCAATTAAATTTCCTTCCTTATCTCTCTTATCTCTGTGGATTTTAAATTCAAAATTGTTGTTAAAAAGAATACTTACTCCTCGTGAATTAGATTTATATGAACTAAAATAGCACTTATAACCCCACTGAGCTTCTACAAATGGTTCAGTTTCATAGGTAAAATGTGTATCTTGCAGACATAAAATAGAGTAACACTTTTTTCTATAATAGTTAAGGACATCCTGTCGTTTCTGAGTAGTCGCTAGACCTTGGCAGTTCACCGTTACAATTTTTATATTATCACTCATCAACGAAAACTGATCTGTAAAACTTAGGCAGCCTCCAAACGAAATATTCAACTACATGACTATTGTATTCTCTCATAAACATGCACACATTCACTCACAAATGTAAACAAAAAAGAAAAAAGACTGTATAAACAAAACAAAAAGAAAAGAAAGAAAAAAGTATGTACCTGTACGAAACAAAGTTGCAAATGCATAGTTGAAAGAGTTTTAAAGATCGATAATCAGAGTATTTATTTTTATTTGTTTACCTTTAAAAGTTCAGTGCCAGTTTAATACCGGAAACACTTCTATGGTCGGTAATTGAAGAATCGGGAATGAACATAAACCTATTTTTCCCGAAATTTACACTATAAATAAGAAACGGATTCAGAGCAGAATTGCTCAATCCGGGAAAAAGAAAATGCAAAAACTAGTTCTACAACAAACTGTTTTAAAAAAAAATTGTATTGCGGACACCTGAACACACTTTTAGTCTACAAAAGTTCTTTGAGGGTGTCAAATAACGCTTTTTCCATTATATCGAAGCGTTTCGGACCAAGATGCTTTCCCATCATGCGCGATATCACAACGGACACATTTGTCAAGTTTTGATCTTGCAGAATTTTAAGCATTTTCCTTCCAGCTCCAAATTCGCCGTCATCACAGTATCGGTCATGTATAGTCCCAGAATTGTCTTTAAAACGGTATACCAGTATATTGTGATTGGCACGCCCATAAACTGGATCCATGGAAATTTTCCTATAGAAGTTCCGAACTTTTGCATATGTCTCTACCTCAACTGCAGCTGCGCTAATTTGATTTCCTGATTCTGAGAGAGTGTTGGCGCGTTTAACTTCGATTTCCTCTAGCTTCTGCTGTTCATTCTGGTCAATTTGTAAAATTTCTTCTGCTTTTGGTGTATTTACTTTATCTCGGTAAACAGACCCATTGGGAAAAACAAGCTTGTCTCCAACAACTCTCGTTTTGATATTTTCACTCCAATATTTACTATTTAGTTCCACAATTCTTGTTTTAAATGTGGACTTTCATAGAATACCACTTGAGTTTAGTCAAAAGACATGAAATTTGATTTTAAAAGACAATATTGACCTGTGACATGTTTAATTTTATCTTTTATTAGTTCATATCCAAAAAATGTTGTCGAAAAAAAAAATAAAATGAAAATATACAATAAAATAATTTTCCTACCTACCTACCCTATTTTTTTTTTCAGGCTGGTAGCAGGAAACAAGACTATTTTTTTTTGTCCTATCTAAAATATGGATCACAAAAAGATGTTGTTTTTTCCCCATCAATTTAATTAATTCATCATTTTCACCAATTGCTATTTTCCTATTCTTGGAAAAAAAGTTCACAAATTAATATATTTCAATGTACGTTATGTAAACTTCAGAAACTTGCATCTGCTGAACATCAATTTTAGTGCCCTTGTAATCGTAGATTCGGGGGTATATAGTTTTTGCCCTGTGCATCCATCTGTCTGTTTGTCCGCAAAAAAAATCATTAATCATCAAGTCGTAATGTTATGACAGCATGCTTTAATAGTGACTACTTATACAGTTTGATGGAACCACGGACCTATACTATACGTCCCTGACAGAATGGCATCCAAACGTCATAAACTTTTTAGAACCTGACCTTGTTATTGAAACATTTGGTCAATTGCTTGCATATTACAACTAATTAAGTGTTTTGGCAGCATTAATAATGACTGTTTAATGGGTTAGGTACGTACTTTGTAATAATAAGTAAACATGACAAACAGCTGGCAAAGTCCTGTCTCAATAAGTGTCAAACTTGGTATTTTCTTTTGAATAAATTTTAATTCTAGGATCAGTCTTCTTGTGTTCCTCTTTGTACTGTACAACCATAAGGGTGGTTGTATTAATAAAAATATTTCCTTAAACCTAGCAAATTGTTTATAGTCACAGTAATACCTTACATCTTTGATTTAGTAAAGACATAAAACATACAGGGTGCTAGTTCCTCGTTTTCCTAGTGTTATTCACAAAATATTTTCATTATGGCAAGTGAAATATTCTGAAATGGTGGCCAAAATTTTTTTTAGGTCCTCATTTAGTGACCTGAAAGTAAGTGTGACTTGGAACACTGTTGGGTAAAACATTTTTCATCTCTTGACCTCTCAAGAACATTGAAAAAAAAAAATGCACTACAAAGAGGATGCAGCGTATCAAATTTGAAAATCCATTATTCTAAATATTTACCTGATGAGTGATGAACTCCAAGGAAGATTGTCCATTGGGCATGGGATCACCATAGTCATATCTGATCTCCTTCCCTCTATCAATATCCCTTCTTGCAAAGAAAAAGCCTGGAGTAGTTGTTAAACACTTTTAACTTCTCATAACATGCATAAGATGGGGTTGTCTATAGCTGCATCATTAACCTACTTTCCAAGCCTTTGGAAGCTGTCAGATGCATCAATGCTTGTAAAATGATAATGAAAACCATAAATAAAAAGTTTAAAGTTACATATAAACATAATAACATATATGATGAAATATTAGGACTGCAGGAACAATACAGGTTTTATGCAACAATCACAATATAGAAGTCACAATATATGAATCACAATGTATTTTTCCAAAAATAATTTTTGTTTCATACAATTTGCAAGAGTAATAAAAATCCCTGCCACTGTATGATATTGTTCAATTATCGTACACATTTTAGAGTGCAAGAAAATTATGTTATTCTTTACTCTAAAAAATTGTCATCCTAGTGAGACATGACACTCTGCAATTTGTTGTAAAGATATAAAAATCCAAATAAAAAATATAACGCAGCAAGGTTAAGGATGCCCACAGGAAATAATACCCCTAAAAAAATTCCGAGAAAATAAATATAGTGTTGATTTTTTTTTACAGCATGAGTTTTGATTAATGGGAATTCTACTATTTGCATATGTAGGAGGGTTGTCCCAGAAATACGTGAACATTTTCAATATCTTTTGTTTCACTAATACTGTAAAGTTAAAAATAGGCATGATAGATCATGATCAACATTTTTGTGAATTTTTTCTGGAAATGTGCTTCTGATAAAATTAGTTTATTTAAGCATAAATTCGGCACAGTATTTAATTTTATTTTATTTACCAAGTAATGCATATCAAATACGGCGTGTGTTGCTAAAAGATTGTGGAATTAATTCTTTCAATAGACAATTTCTCAATTCCGATAATAAACCTAACAGTTCACATTGTTTAACGATGGCCTTGGCTTAGGCTTATGACGTAAAGCTCAGGACTTTCAGTTTGTCTTCATTTCTTTTGGTCTACAAAATGTCTCTTCCAGCACTAATATCTCTTTCATCGTATGGGCAAGAGTCCTATCCCGTTTTAAAGACAGTGCTGCTTAATAATTTGTGCTCCAAATTATCACTAAACGTCACCATTTTTAACAATATCTAATTAAAAGTGTTCTGGCATATAAGGTCATATATTTGTCATTAATGATATCAAATTAATGAATTTTCATACACAAGTATATCAGCTAGATCAGAGAGTATTTATGGAGGTAAAGTTTGTGACATTATATTTCCGTATAGCCTGGTAATAAAGAAAAATTCATTGACAATGCTACTTTTAAAAGTCAATAAACTGCAGTGTGCAGACCACCGATATTTAACACCCTTTAAATGCCGTTTTTACATATTAATGACATCACAAGCCTAAAATATTTTGTCATAATACTGAAAATATCATTTTCCAACAACTTGCAAAAAATTATTAGTTCTGGTCAAATAGTTTCTGAAATATACAAAAAGTTTGTGTTTTCTGGGACAACCCTCATATATATGAGATCTTTGCCGAGTTCGGCCAAAGCAACTTTACTTACATCAGCTGTTCGTCAAGTGACATGTTTAAAATTACAAAAAATATGTATGGCTACAAAGATCATAAAGTACAACGATATACGGATATCTTTTCACTATGAAATTAATTTTGTTTTCTTTAAGACAAATTCCTTAACCTGAAAAGTGCTGGGAGCAACTTCCCCATGCCTGAGAATTATGTAAAATTTTTGATAAACTTCCTACATTGACATAATATGCATTGAAATAATGGTAAAAAACGGAAAAAAGCAACAGCGCACAACCAGCTCCTGGCACTTTTCAAAGTAGTAGGGATGTTACTACCTTTGTATAATAAAGTGCCCCAGCATGATACGCCCGTCAAATATTGTTCAATTATCACGAACAATTTAGAGTGCAAGTCAACCTTGATACAAGGATTTCCAAGATTTTTCCATTTCTTACAATTTTTGTTTATACATTTCCTGTGGTGTAGGCATTATAACAAATATTACATTATAGATCCTCAACTGGTAGTGTTAGAGCTTGACAAATGCCCATCTGCACCCCCCCCCCCCCCACACACACACACAGTGACACACACACACACCTTTCATATTTGAGACATGATGCTCTGAAATTTACTAGTTGATATTTTCAAAAAATTAAATAAAAATATCATATTAAACAAAATCAATTTAGTCTTAACAACTTAATCATGTTAATCTATACCAATTTAATTTTAAAATAAAAGACTGGCCATCAAATGACATATGCTATAAACTGACCAGCAGTTCTTCTGTCTAATTCCCAAAGGATACAGATAAGAACTGCTTGATCAGAGATGCTCTAACAGAAATGATTGAGAACAGCTAGCCTTCCTACACTGAACTCATTAATTAATCTTTAACTGGATGCATGTCCACTCATTACTCCCAAGGGATGAATGGATCTGTGCTATCTGCTTTGTAGTGCAATTAAAATGAATATTTATGTCATTCTGAAATTAAATTTGAAACAAAGATTTTTTTTTTCAATTTGTTACAAAGATTTATAAAAAGAAAAAAAAATTGTAATCTTGATGCAACATTTTTAATAAGGTTTCTGCTTGACTCTTAGATTTGTAGGGACTATCTATTAGTTTATTATACAATATCAAATTAGTTTATTATACAATTATTGTATCAAATTAGTTTTAATTACTTTTCACCAAATTCATTTTAAAAGTTAGGCTAGCCCACAAAAAACTATTTAATCCACTGATTCCTCTGCCCAATTCCCAAGAGATATAGATAACACCTGCTTGATCAGAGATGCTCTACCAGTTAGCTCCTCACACTAAACTAATTTCTCGCTAATTTGACATGCAATTTTCTGTTATCAAAATTCTCCTTGACCAGTGCTTGATAATTACACCCATGGGAGAGGTGGAATTTCTCTTGTAACATTATATTTGTTATAGATTGCTGTAAAGTATATAATGAAAAAAATAAGTATTTCTTGATTTTAACATCTTTTTAATAAGGATACTGCAACACTTCTACATTTTTTGGGATTGTGTAATTTAATAGTAAAAAGACAGTTTTTTTTTTTTTTAAATTTCACTTAAATTAAAGGTCACAGTGACCTTGAAATAGGTCGCGACACACCTTCTACCTAAGATGCATAAACTGGCCAAGTTTGATGATTATAAGTCTAATAGTTTTCTAGTTATGAGCCGGACAGGATTTTTCCATATTTGGCCATAGCATCTTAATTAAAGGTCAGAACGACCTTCTTTTAGTGCGTGACACACCTTCTACCAAAGAAGTATCAGCTGACAAAGTTTGATAATCCTAGGCCTAATAGTATTAAAGTTATGAGCCGGACACGAGAAAAGCTAACAGACAGACAGACAGACGGACATGAACGCCATAACATAATACGTTCCGTCTTAAGACGGGCGTATAAAAATTCATAAATTATAGTGAAGCAGATATCGTTGAACTTTTGAGATTTTCGAGAGGCTGTGCCTGTTATTCTAGATTGTTAATGTATAAATGTGCCTTACTGTGGCTTTATATGAGGTCTACACATTTTCAATTTAAGGCCTAAAAAAAAAATAAGTTTGTTTCCTGTAACCCGACCGACCCATTCAAATTATCCCCCGGCGGATTTTTTTTTTTCTGCCAAATCTGCATTTGCTCTTTGGTTCGATCGATCAGCTGATTCCATTTATTCAAAAAATATTAATTGTAGCTTTATTTGAGATATAAAATATGTCATCCTAGTCAACATTTACCTTGAATATAAAGAGTAATCATTATTGTAACAACAATTTCCACCCACAACTTTTAGAATTTCGTTCTCTGCCGCTAAGCAGCCATTTTGGGTGTCCACTTTAAATATAACACCTGGTTAATTCAGTCTGGGGATGTTTGACCCTCTTATCCATAAGCAAAAAAAAAAAAAAAAAAAAAATCCCGACCTACCGACCCTTGATTTTTTGGGAATGTTACAGGAAGCAAACAATTTTTTTTAGGCCTAATTAGACTATAAAATATTGATTAATACATTCAAAAATATGACTTAGTTCTGATCAGATCACACTTATTTTAATTTGATATTTACAAGCTACAATAATAGCTTGATCTACGCCTCAAGTACAGAGAAACTGTCTGTCAAACTAGGGTGTGACGTCATCTTAGTCAGTGCAGGAAGGTCAAGATGGCTTAAATTCTACATTCAAATAGTGTTATTATGACATGATAAGTTACACATCAATTTATGTTTACAATATTTATCATGTTATGAGAAAAGACTGTATTTGAGTGTGTATGAAAAAGAAAACATTAGTATTTAGGATTTATTTGTTCAGTTTCATTGTGACATCATAATCGATTTCCAGAAGCTCTGCATATAGGCTGATGTAAGTATGGGAGTCCTAAACCTAGCTGCGTATACAATATATATATATATTTTTATATAATTAGTTTTGATTACTTGTTAAATATACAATATCAAATTAGTTTTAATTATATTATATACTAAAAGATTAGTTTTATTTACTTTACAACAAATTTATCTTGAAAGTTAGACTAGACAAGAAAGTCGACTTTTGCACTCGGCGAGCAGAGTTTTGACACTGTTTACGGAAATAAAAGAAAATTAATAAATAAGACAAACATGTCATAGATAGTTGTGTAGATAAATTATCGTAGAGGACAATGGTAATAAACAGTTTGCCAGTGCATTTCCTCTGAAAGTGTAAATAAGTTCAATTTTGGGGAAGGGGGGGGGGGGGGGTACTCAATGTAATATGGAGTTGGATACCTTGTGTTATCATCATACTATGGGTTGAAAAATTTATTACCAAAACAAGTGCCTGTAATACCAGCTGTTAAAAATCAGTATGGGCCACTACCATTTTAGAACTAGTAGCCTCTTCAGCGACCAGTTTTAAAGGCTGATATTTTTAACCGAACAGTTTTCTCTGGTGAGGGGAGGGACTAAGATTTTCCCAGAGGCTGATCGTGTATGGTGTTAATACCTATACACACACAGTATACACAGGAAGTCCTTGTTACCTGTGGGAACTTTTATACATATATTTCTAAAAGATGATAAATTTTTTAATTGTAAGCTAGCTTATTGTGAGAAAATATAGCATTATAACTGACAAACTGTCAACTTTAATGCATTTAATTATCAAACAAACAGCATATAGACCTCTTTAAATACAGCGATCTTTACAGCAATGTGTTGACGTGATCCTTGTCATGTTAAATATGGGAAATTCCGAAAATATCAATGTACCTGTATTTAATTTCAATTATTTATAAGTGTAAAAAAAGTTGTTATACAGTGCCTGGGAAGGTAAAACAACAGATGCGGGCAAATGGCCCTGTTATTCATAGCCACTAACCAGGGTCATTTTGAAATTTAAGGGGTCTAGAGGATATATATTCAGGTCATTCTAAAATATGTCATAGCTTTGTGCTAATAATAATGCATATACATGTATCTTTGACACCTAAATTTAAGTTGCTAAAGAATGCCATAGGAATTGACAAATCATTCGACATTGACTAGCAAAAGTGATTTTTCTGTTTCTAAGAAATTCATAAATCATTCGTCATCTACCACAGCAAGTATTTAGGAAAATTACATTTAAACCAAACACACACTTTTTTTAAATTGTCGATTTAGAGATCAAGGGACAGGCAAAGATAAAAAACTTCGATGATGTGGTTTTTCACTGTAAGGTAAAATTTTTTTCGTAAATCTGTGGTAAGCCATCCAAAATGACTTAACATTTCTTTGCCAATGGATGTAAAATATGTTGAATGTCGGTTCCAATTTTTTAATATGATACATTACAGATTCCATCTACCTTCGACGATGAATACTGTACCGATAGAGCAGACTGATATGAACTTTACAAAGTAGAAAACAATGTGTGTTGTGCTGCATGGCATCAGTGCATCAATGCATTGGGCCATTTTTCTGCAGTATGCACATATAGCACATGATATGGCCCCTTCCCAGGTCCTGGTCATAAAAATTTTTATGATCACGATCAAAATGTTTAGAAAACCCTGTTTGTATGAAAAGTTGTGCAACACTTCTCTTAACAATTGAGCAAATGGCAAAAGATGCAATGTGGAAAAGCCACAAATATCTAGAAATAACCGTAGTGGGAATTGAATCATGCCAATCTCAAACAAATGCAAAAAAATGTTTTATAACTGAGGTTTTTCCTAATGCTTCTGTAGTAGGCCCTATATTATGTTCTCCCTCCTTTCTTTCATCAGAGGTAAGGCATAATAAAAAAATATGTTTGTTTACAGTTACCCGACTGACCCTATATCTAATACGCAACCCAAATTTTTTTTCGTCGTAAAAATCCAGAAGTCACTCATTCGTCGGTTTAACTTTTACATGCATCTTAATCAGTCAAGCGTTTGAAATCGAAAGTACTAGAAATAGTTAGTGCAACATGGAATTAAAAAAGAATTACAAGACAGTTTTTTTCATTGTGTGGTAGCTGTAAGGCAGTTGGCAAGAAAGATATTGCCATATGGCAAGCCCAAACAAAAGTAAAGCACCACACAATGGTAAAACTGTCTTGTTTTTCAATCAATTCATTTGAATTTGTGTATAAAAAAATTCAATAAAATAAAAATAATCCTACCTATCGGCCCTATTTTATTTCGGCATGTAACAGCAAACAAACATATTTTTTTGTTTGGCCTAAACATGTATGGAAACTATAAACATAAAACTAACACCCATCTGAATTCAGAATCGGTGCATGTGCTTTTTTGAGGTTGACAAGCTGGTAATTATGCTTCACAGCTGCTTCAGGCTGAAGCATCCGTCATTTGTAAGGTAGGTCGCGGGTTTGCTTTTGTCATCAATTTCGGTACACAATTTAGACAATTCGAGTGGTTGTTTTGTGCACATTTGATTATGACGTGAGTTACATCACAAAGGCGATGTTGCACTGCTTCCTGCTTATTTCTCTGAAAATTACTTTAATTAGCAATAGAATCTAGTCCATACGAGGCGTCTGTACAGTGTGCGAAAGTATTAACGCCTGTCCGATGGTCCGAATCTATCTCAAATTGAATTGGTCTACCCCGATCCGAATTGAAACAGACCGAATTCTCTATCCCAATTTTGGCCATGGGTAAAATGAGATTGAACAAGAATGACCATTTCGTATTTTTAACACATAATTATAAACAAAATAATTGTGAAAAAATAATTTAATACTTTTATATTTTACATGGTAAAAGAACTGTTGTTAAATCTCTTTACTTATTAATTTATAACATTGTGCATCTTTCGATGAATTAGTGGTGTACAATTTTTACCCAATGCTTGCTGTTTATGTATATCAGGCATGCTACAAATCCTGACTGCAGGAAGCACTGCATTAAAACACCAATTGAATCAACAAAAAGACAACCAAAAAAATTGAAAATAAAATAATGAATCCGAGAAAAGGGAAAGCTATAAAGATGAAATTAGAGTTTGTGTCTTTCACAAAAAAGAAAAATAGTTTACGGTTATTAGTCAAGCATTTAGTCTACTTCCTTTTCCAAAATGGCGACCATCGAAGAAGGAATGTAAACATGTGCTGAAGAAAGATGGCAATAACTATCAAAGAATATACTCTATACGTCAATTTATTTGATAAAAAATTTCATATTAAATTCATAAGTAAGTGAAATAATTTATTTTTAGTAAAGTCATTAAGTAAACATGTCAAAAGAAAACAAAAGTGCAAGCTTGAAATTTGCTAGCTAAATTTAGCTACGATGTATTATCAATACATGTAGCTCTATACATCTATCTTTGGACTCGGTATGGAGCAATCGGCTATTCTAATTTTCGGCTATTCGGATAAAACTATGCTGACAACTTGACTATTCGATAAAACGGGAACCACTGTAATACCATCCCTGTGTTCACCGAGTATGATCTTGCTGTACTAACAGATCATGTATAACGTCACCGACTTGTTGGACACGCAGTTTAGGGAAACAGAGGAGTGGATCAATCTTTTTCATAATTTGTTAATGTTTACAAGAACGTAAAAACTTTTTAATTTTTTTATATAAGATGGTAATTAAAGTTAAAAATTGTCAAAAAATTATACAAGAATTAATGCTTTACACATATTGCACTTATATAAACGGAGACTATGATGTAGTTAAACAGAGTCATGTGACCATGTGTCCTTCATCCCCTTAAAATGAATTCATACAAACACCCAGCATATCGGACCTTTATGGCACTCTAAACAGATATTAATATACTGTACATGTATTACGAAATACAAGTATCAAGACTTCAAGTACAATTTTTTCTATAACAAAATTAAGCTATCTGTGTTTAAGCTGAATGCAAGTATTTTACATTTTTTAATGATGAAAAATTAATAAAGAAAAAAAAAACAATAAAGAACAAATGTTTGAGAGTTCTGACTATATACTGAATTGCGATTGACTTAAAAAGAACATTACCGATAACCCCCACCCCCCTTCAATGGTGGACTTCTTTTTTTTCCTTTACCGTGTTATACTTGAATTCTTAATAATGAACTTGAACATCCTAACATTACTTGTATTATATTATCTATCGCAGTGTTACTGCTAGTGGTGTTCCAATCATCGATTATAATCGAAAATCAGTCGATTGTTGGCATAATCCAAGCGCTCGATTACAAAATTTCTATTCCGATTAATCGGGTTATTTATTTTATTTTACAAGCGTAATAGTTTTCAAGCCAAATATTCCAGCCGCGACTTTTCTATTAACTTATTTGTGTATCGTAATGGCGTAGACGAACAGACATTGTATTCATACCCGGGTAACAACGCTAATTCCCGGGTATGGACATACTTTAGATTCTACAAAATGAATGAAGAACCAGCTGGACTAGATCGAACGTTCTATCATTAAAATATTGTCCTAAGGACTAGGGCTTGTCCCGAAACACAGTTAGATTATTCTAACTACAGCTGGACCACCACAGAAAGTAGTTATTCATCCATTCTTACCATTTGATAAACTAAATTGACAGACTTTGTAAATGTCCGATTATAATTGATAATTAGTTAGTTACAGTAGCCCGATCATCGATTATGAAATTCTTACCGATTCCCATCACTAGTTACTGCATATTAATTCTAATGCACGAAGAATGTTTATATCAATATACCGTTCATTCTGACTTTGTGGGCAGAATTATGAATTTCATAATACTAGAGAAGATAAGCTACTTATCTTCACGTAGGCAAATTTAATAAAAATTTCAGATAATATGCCGCAAATTCTAAGGAACATTATATCAAATTTTTCTGAACATGTTTTCCCGTAAGAATTTTTATGCAGTAAACCCGCGACCAACCTTAAACTGTGCTTACGATCAAACAAGTTCGAAAGTCCCTCGTTCTCTCGTCTAATTATCATAAATATGTGTTATATTCAATTGCTCTACTAATAATAACAAGATACTTACTGTCTTACAGCTCTTTACCCCTGCTAAACGCCGCCATTGTCCTCCCACAATGCATTGCGTGTATCGCTACACCGTATTGTGGGATATTCCAATTGACATTTATAGATACACAAAATGTTGAAAGCGAGGGACTTAGACCGACTGTTCTAAAAATAGATTTTGCGTTGTGGGACATTTTTCTATATATCCTTATGGGTCAAAAAAATTATTTTTTTTGTTTTTTATGGTAGGAATAGCATTTCCAACATTTCTGTGAAGTTTAGACTACATGGTTTATGGGTCAAAATATAGATGACCCATAAACCACCTAAGGATCCCACAACGTGAGTCTGAGATACGCCAAATATCCCATAACACGCCTCTTGTATAACTATATATATATATATATATATATATATATATATATATATATATATATATATATATATGAATTTTAAGTTTTACTTAAAAAATTTTATGTACATTGGAATGCTCTGCGTATAATTAGAGTTATCGCGCTTGCATTATCCTTGGAAGTTTGTGGCGTGTCCAAATTAGGAGAGGCAAATGCAAGTGATTCTTGGAAATGAAAACATTTAGTAAATGCCCAATGAAAATCATGCGCGGCAAAAATCTGGACCCGGTCGTCCAGATAGCGTCGTTTTTCAGTTTCTTTTAGGACGCCGTGAAAAGTACATGTGTGTTGGATAGCTTCAAATTATTTTAAGCGGTAAGGTAACACTTTTGTTTTTTCCTCATACAATTTAATTGTTTTATTTGTCTAACAATCTTTCAAAGATTAAGTACGTAATATTTTGCTATGTTACTGATATTAATAATTGCTATCCAATGCCATTGTTATTTTGTATACTATTTGCATACGGGGACAACTCGATGCTGTAGAATATTTAAAAAAAAAAAAAAAGAAAAAGACCGATAATCGCCAATATAGTAGCGATGGGAAGTCTGACTGTAGGAAACGTTAATATTATGTTTTCATTCTTAAATAATTAATTTATTTTGCTTTCACGAACAATGACTTAGTTAAATTTAATTTGGTAATAAAGAATTTCTATTAGACGGCGTCTGTTTTCGATAATATATGTTGAAGCCTTTGTGGCCACGTATGTTTTATATGTGTATGTCCTATACAAAAATTTAGAATTTTTCAATTTAAATTTGTCATATACAAATTTAAATTGAAAAATTCTAAATTTTTGTATAGGACATGTAGGTCAACATGACCTCACTGCTGTAACTGCGGAAGTGATGAATCATTTTGGACAGCTGAAGCCATTCCTATGCTATTTAAAGTGTACAAGGTTTCAACTTTTGTCCGATATAGATTAGAAATGCAAAATGCAGAAATAATAATGATTTATATAAAAAAAAAAAAACAAAACATGTATAGATATATATATATAAATTTACATACCAGTTAATATGTATACTAGACGTACATGTATTAAAAAGTTTAAAAAAAAAAAAAAAAAAAAAAAAAAAAAAAAGCTATGAAATTTTTGTTTGATACGATGATCCAGTTCTGAAATTGATTATAACTTTGCTTGTTTCTGATAATCAAGATTCTCTCATTTCCGTGTGGAAATGTGTTCTTATTCAATTTACTTATTCAATTAATAAATTAATTTGTTTACTTATTTAGTAAGTTATTGATTGATCTATTCAAATTTATTATTTATTTATTCTTTATTTCTTATTTATTTTACCTCATTTGCATCAACACAAGTTTTTTTGTGTTTCCCGAGGACAATACTGTATTAAAACTCCTCTGTTGAGGTTTTCCTCATTAGGATCAACACAAGTTGTTTGTGTTTCCTGAGGACAAGATTACAAACTCCTCTATTGAGGTTTTCCTCATTGGGATCAACACAAGTGGTTTGTGTTTCCCGAGGACAATATTGATTAAAACTCCTCTCTCGAGGTTTTCCTCATAAGGATCAACACAAGTTGTTTGTGTTTCCTGAGGACAATATTACAAACTCCTCTGTTGAGGTTTTCCTCATTAGGATCAACACAAGTTGTTTGTGTTTCCTGAGGACAATATTACAAACTCCTCTATTGAGGTTTTCCTCATTGGGATCAACACAAGTGGTTTGTGTTTCCCGAGGACAATATTGATTAAAACTCCTCTCTCGAGGTTTTCCTCATAAGGATCAACACAAGTTGTTTGTGTTTCCTGAGGACAATATTACAAACTCCTCTACTGAGGTTTTCGTCATTAGGATCAACACAAGTTGTTTGTGTTTCCTGAGGACAATATTACAAACTCCTCTATCGAGGTTTTCCTCATTGGGATCAACACAAGTTGTTTGTGTTTCCTGAGGACAATATTGTGTTAAAACTCCTCTAACGAGGTTTTCCTCATAAGGATCAACACAAGTTGTTTGTGTTTCCTGAGGACAAGATATTAAACATTCTATGGTGAGATTTTACTCTTGGAAATCAGCATTACTTAAGAAGGTAACTGCCTTATTCGGATATGTTTAGTATTTGACAAAATTCAAAAAAAAAAAAAAAAAAAAAAAAAAAAAAATACGGATTTAAGATGCATGTATTTATCTATTTGTTGTTGTTTACATGACAAATCTCTAGAAAATATAGATCTCATCATATCTCTTACATTTTATTGACAAAAAGTAATTCTTTTTTACAGCATCACTAAAGAATTAGAAGTATATATTTTCAGTATATATACAATGCCTCCAAAGAGACAGTCAAGTAGGGCACGAGCGGTTCCACCCACTACTTCCCGACAAGGAAAGAAAAGACGGTTGGTAGCAGACCAGATCTCGGTACCTGATGATGTGGTGGAAGAAATCACCAAAACTGTCACTGATAGGGTTACGGCTTCAATAACAACACTTATTAATGAAGTTGTCAACACTAGATCATCGAATTTGAATAATCAGGGGAGTATAGACAATAGTAATGTGCAAGCATCTCCACAGATTGCCATCTCAGATAATAGTGTCACTGTAAATGCTCAGTCTAGTGTATTGCCCGAGGCCACTGAGTCAAATAAAGGTAGGGGACAAACAGGATTTGTCAGCACAGCAGTGCCAATAGAAGCTCTGGTGTCTGACCAAATCAAGGCTAAGATATGGTCTAATCAGTGCATTGATTTTGTTAAACTTTTATCAAAGGAAAAACAGAAGAAGGGTAAGTTCTCTTTGCAAGTAGAAAATAGTGATACTCAGGGGAAGTTAACCATTCACCAGGTTGAGAACGATGCCGAAAACAAGTCAAATGTTTCCTCTATGCATGACTGGATTACAGCTTGGAACAGGTATGCAGCAATATATTGTATAAAATACCCTGAACAGCAGTCAAAATTAGCCAAGCATTTAGAGGCAGTGAGAGATATTGCTGATGCCAAAGGTAATTGGAAAAATTACGATGCAGAATTTAGACAGCTTGTATCTCAAGGACAAGTTGCATGGGGTGATGTTCACATGGAATTGTATGTAAATGCTAGACTGAAAACTGATCTATTGACAAAAGTAAGTAGTGAAAATAAAGATGCACCGTCAGGGCCCATCCCAAAAGGGGCTTGTTTCAATTATCATGCAGGTAAGCAGTGTCGTGCAGGTCTATCCTGTCGTTTCCAACATATGTGTTACAACTGTGGCAGCAACCACCCATTTAATCACTGTAACAAACAAACACAGCAGCCCTTTCGTTTCCTTAGAAAATTCTACACCCAAACAAATAAAAATAACAAAGAATTTACCAACCCTTCCAAACAAAGGAATGACACTAGTAAAAGTAAGTAGATTGGCAAAATGGTTAGCTGGATATGATGAAGATGAATCCAAATATCTAATAAATGGTTTCTCTAATGGGCTTTCGTTGGGTTTTGTGGGTGAATGCCCTGGTGTTGAATCAAAGAATTTAAATTCTGCTTTCCAAAACCCACAGGTTATATCTAGTAAGATACAAAAGGAAATTTTGGCTGGGAGGGTTTATGGACCTTTTGAAATCAAACCAATACCTGATTTACAATGCTCTCCATTAGGCTTAGTTGAAAAGAAAGAACATGGGGAATACAGAATGATTCATCATCTATCATATCCAGAAAACAAGTCCATCAATGATGGGATTCCACCGGATGAGTCATTTGTTCAATACTCATCGGTTTCAGATGCTATTCAATTAATAAAAAATTGTGGAAAATGTGCATACTGCTGCAAGACAGATATAAAATCGGCTTTTAGAATTATCAACATGCATCAATCACAATTTAAGTACTTAGGTTTCAAGTGGAATAACAAATATTATGTGGACTCCTGCTTGCAATTTGGTCTTAGTTCTTCTTGTAGAATTTTTGAAAGATTTTCAACAGCATTACAATGGATAGCTCAGAATAAACTGAAAATATCTTGTATATCCCATGTTTTAGACGATTTTATAATCATTAATAAATCACCTACTGAATGTGTTAAACAGTTGAAGGCATTCCTCGATATGTTGATGGATATAGGGGTCCCAATATCACTTGAAAAAACATGTGGACCCAGCCAGATCATAACTTACTTGGGATATGAATTGGATTCAGTTAAAATGGAATCTAGGCTTCCAGATAATAAAATCCTTAAGTGTGTTACGAAAATTGAATCAAGTTTACAACAACAAAAATTGACACTCAAGGAATTGCAGTCACTGATAGCTTTATTGAATTTTGCATGTAATGTAGTATTGCCCGGTAGGTCTTTTCTTAGGAGACTGATAGACTTGACTATTGGAATTAAAAAACAATACTATAAAATTAGAATGACAAAGGAAGTAAAAGAAGATCTAAATGTTTGGCTGAGTTTTCTTTCAAATTACAATGGATCTACCATGTTTTTGCCTGATAGGTGGTTAAATTCTACTGAAATAAAGTTGTATACTGATGCATCAGGGTCTATTGGATATTCTGCAGTGCTTGGTAGTCAGTGGTTTCAAGGAAATTGGGATATTAATTGGAGATACCAGGATATTGCTATTTTGGAATTTTATCCTATAGTACTTGCTGTGCAAACGTGGTCAAAATACCTTGCTAATAAATGTATTTTGTTTAACACTGACAATCATGCACTGGTTCATGTGATCAATAAGCAAACAGCTAAGGATAAACACATAATGTTTTTGTTGAGGAAACTGGTGCTAACCTGTCTAGAATTTAATATTTACTTTAGAGCAATACATTTGTCAAGCAAAGAAAATTTGCTATGTGACTATCTTTCTCGTTCCAAGGTACAGCAATTCTTGGAACTGGCTACTTGGGCAGACAGACATCCAGTAGAGATACCTCCTCTTCCGCCTTTTCCATCTTGATTGGCGTTAAGGGGAAATTACCAACCCTGGACATTTCAATGGAGATAACCTTTTAATTTCTGATGCATACAACATTTGGTGACAATTTTGAACAGCATCTGTTTTTAAAAATATATATTTTTATAATGAAATATTAAATGAAAACACTTCATTATGCGTGCATAGCAGTGTGACAAACGTTCAACCTAGGCAAGAACACGTGTTTATACGATGTCGTCGGACATAATTTACCAAAGTTAATATCAGTGTCTGTGAATAAACTTTTCGTGACATGTTCAGTCCAGGGCATATGTTTATCCCTGATTTGGATTTAATAAGCAGTTCACTTGTGGCATATTTATTCCCTAGGTAGCAGTAGTTCTACTAACAAACAGACATGAGTAGACTTACTTTTATGAATGACAAGCAGGGCATATGTTTATCTCTGACTTGGAATTTTTCATCTAGTTGTACATTTATGGCTCTTGGTTTCATTGGGTACATAGTAGGACATATGTTTATTCCTACTGGTTCATATGTGTGGAACGTACAAACTTTTCAAAAGGACAAGCAGGGCATATGTTTATCTCTGCTGACTTAAAATTACTTTTTATTTTGACAGGTATAACTGAACTTTGCCCCTTTTTCGGCTTCCTTTTTCTTGGGGTCTGAACTTGATTAAATTTAATTTAAAGTATAAATTTAATCAAGTACATGGCGGTTTCAGACCACAAGAAGGTTTTATATATTATGTAATCAATTACGCCACATATTAGGTAATCACTGTTTACATATCAATCATATTCATAATTCGACTTCATTCTGTTGTGAATTTTTGATATAGATAATAAGAAGTTAATTAATAATTTTATGGATTTCTTGACCAATTATTACATAATTAATTACAAGTAATTTCTATAATTAAAGTCACATTAGTGGCAAAGTGCAACATACCTAAGTGTTTTGTTGTTTATGAAAATGGAGAGTGAAGGCGGTTTCTCAAAATTCTGCGATAGTACAATAACTGTGAGTTGGGTTCATGACAGTACACGGAAATGTTAAAGAATGATAAGTTTCACAGATTAGTTATTTTTATCAAACTGAATTTGCATTGGCAATTGTACATATATATATATATATATATATATATATATATATATATATATATATATATATATATATATATATATATATATGTGTGTGTGTGTGTGTGTGTGTGTGTGTGTGTGTGTGTGTGTGTGTGAGGGTGTGAGTGTGTGTGTGTGTCAAAATAGAATTTTTTTAGCATTATCTTAAGAGTCTAAGGTCCTTTTGTTTGTTGTTAAATGTCCATCTCGAGAATATTTCAACTCATATGGAGACGCCATCACTTGCCGGTTGAAGGCTGTAAATTTAGAAATATACTCGGCACTTCGGACCATTGAGCAGTGAGGGTTCTCTTTTGTGCCAGCACCTGCTGCGACCTTGGTATAACGGTCTCATCCGAAGGACCTGTCTCCACGTCCCGCAGTGGGATTCGAACCCGCGATCAACTCCTTACACCACGACTCTAAAGAAAAAGCTTTAACCACTGAGCCACGCGGGCGACATCTAACGTACGTAAGGAAACACATATTGGAAAAAAGAAGAAGACGGCTTAACGCTCAAGATTGAGAGAACGTTTACAAATCAAAAAAGTATAAGTTATTTAAAAAAAATACTGAAAAACTGTGGGGTCGATCTTGTTTATAAGAAAAATTGCAAAATTGACTCTTCGTAATTATCATGGTGGTAATGGTTCATTTCATGAAAGGAAACTGTGCACTCCGATCACAAGTCAGGAAACAAATTTTATCAAACAGATAAAATTTTAAAAAATACACATTGAAGATATTTACCTGATCATAACTACCCGCGTTGCTAAAGTACGTAGAATCTGATAATGGTAATATTAAAAAAAGTACACGTTAAGAAGTTTAATCAGTGAGAATCTATTTTGGTAAAATTTTGTACACTTTCTAATCAAGCATGAACGTAAAGAATTTTACCTGATACTCTAAGCACATGGGTTTTTTCAATACTGATTATATAATGATGAACATCGCAGACAGATACAGCGATGAAATTACTGTGAAATCACAAATTTTCAGGAACTTTAATTTTCATTGTTTTCGTGATATGAGGAGAAAAACGAATTCAAATACTCCATAGAATATTAAAATTTCAAACTACATATCATGTTTAGCTTTCAACCATGAAATCAACTTCAACTTCCCACGAAACAAATCTTAAACAGCAGACATTTTAATCCACGTAAATAAGTGACTTTATAGTGAGAAATTTATTGCATTAATTGATTTTAACATGAATAGCTGACCGAAAAGGTGCTCAAAGTCACCTTGTCTTATGTTAAAGAAAACGAAAATTGAAGTCATTAGACAGGTCTCAACGACTTCCATATTTGAAAATCCAGAATGATAACTGAATGTTGCTATAAAATTTTTAAGATTCATCATCAACAAATAAATGTTACTTTGATCAATTAGAGAACAGCATTTTTAAACAGCATGTCTCTCCTTATTCCTTCATTTTTTCTACACAGACTCTTTATACGTACTATAAACAATTTGAAAGAATAAGATATTCTTCATATATTTACCGTTAAGAAATTAAAGCATCATTTTCATCTCAGAATAGAGCAGCATAAAACAATTAAAGTACTATCTTTTACGGAGGAAAACACATCGTCAAAATAGTGTCCATTACATGTATCAACACATACTTTATTATCATTGTTAGTAAATATAACTTCTTCCGTATACGTGGCAGTCCGATTTTTATTGATATCATAACGTTTTTATGGTTATAAAGATTCAACGCAAGCAAGTGTACATCTTAAGGACTATGTGTGTACATCATATAGATTATTTAGAAATTAAAATCAAGATCTATGTATATTGAGGATTAAAAAAGTGCCGAATGCATTTTAAATAAAGTTTTACATTTAACATGTTAAAACAGAGACTTGACTTAGGGAGTATAGAATGAAAACAGATGCAACTTGCTAAGCATAACAGAAATTAAATTGGACGATTTTGTTTATTGTACACATGGAATGAGACTGTTTTTGCTTTAAATGTGAAGAAAAAGTGCAGCTATTATGCTCAAATGTCCAATTTTAACAATACAAATTATGAATTTAAACAATACAAATTATGAGCAGAGCAAACACGGACATCTGAAAACAGAGAAGAGATCAGGTGCTTGCTCGTTGACCATTTTCATAGCTCCAAGACACACAAAATCAAACAAGCTGCCGACTCTTTTAAGCGTTAAAAATCTTTTTTCTAAGTACTTACTTGTTATATTTTCCTTTTGACAAATAAAAGAATATTATCAAAAAATGTAAAGAAAGTAATGAGTTTACAAAAATTGCTAAAACATTGACACATCCCTAAAAAAGGACTTTCATGCAAATTTCTTCTACATGTGTAATTGTCTAGTGTGTTAAATAAACGCAATAGAAATTGGAGAAGTTGGGTGATATGCCCACTTCCTTACTAATTAAATGCTTTGTATACAACAGATGTGCAAATAAGCTTCTGATGATGGCAGATTTGCAATAAATCTGTATAAAAATTGAACGTCTATGACCACATACCGAGTGCCGCTGATCAGTTTTTATGTAACATCACTTTGCGCAAGCATTAATTTCGAGGGGCTAATCACTAATTGCCGTAAAAGCAGCTTACAGAGAATGAAATAAGTGTTTTCTCAATTCAAGCCCAGCCCACATTAGATGTAACCTTTCTCGTCAGACATTATAGAAAATGATATATTCAAATATTTGAAAACAAATCATTTGATGTGCATTGTGGTCTAAATGTTCCTACTCTGTATGCGAAATTCATTCACATCAATTCACCAACAAAATGAAAAAAAATAAATACAGGTAAAAAAAAAATTGGTAACTATGGATATATTATTTTTCAGGCAAGAAGACTGAATGAAATCAATGATCTTTCACTATAGCTAATGCTCATATAATCCATTGCTGAAATTCAGATACGGATTTTCTAGGCAAAATATGGATATTTTAGATACCACGGCATAAAATGGGAATAGATTAAACACAAATCAATTTGTTTGATTTTCAAACGTATACAAATCCCACCAATTCATTGAAGGCGAAATCATTCCCCATTTAAGAAACACAAGCGACTCTACTACAATTTACGAAATTATAAATGAATTTATATGAAAATCTCACAATGATAAATTTTAGTAAAAAATGAAATAAACCAAAAAATATACAGAATATCCCTTTACAACAGTTACAACAAGGACAAAGCTCTAAGAGTAAAAAGATATATTGAAAATGCATTTTTAGTGTAATAAAATACAATCCTGGACTCCGAAAAATTATTTAAATATTTTAAAATACTGGTATATACTTAAATAAAATAAGGATTGTGATGCGATTTCCATTGAAATTGCTATTGTATCATATAAAAACAATAAAAACAATTGAGTAATACCCTAACAAAAATACTGTAGTAAACTATAGTAAATGAAAGTTTCAAAGGTATCACTATAGTAAATCAGAGTTTTCATAGTAATCACTATAGTGTCATAGTGTTTACTATAGTTAATAAACGTTATCACTAAAGTTATTCAAAGTTTTCAAAGTTATCACTATAGTGAATCAAACTTTTTAAAGTTTTCACCATAGTAAATCAAAGTTTTATAGTGACCACTGTAGTATTTCAAAGTTTTCATAGTTATCACAATAGTGTCATAGTGATCACTATAGTATATCAAAGTCTTCATAGTTATCACTATAATAAAATCAAAGTGCCAAAGTTACCACTGTAGTTATCTATAGTTTTCATAGTGTCAAAGTAATCACTATAGTTAACTATAGTTTACTATAGTTTTTTTGTCAGGGTGTTTACTTTCTAATCTATTAGATTATATATGTATTAACAATGTTGCAAATAAGCCCCCATGATGACGGATTTCAGCTGATTTATGAAATATATGGAGATAAAGAACAGTATTCAAGTCCATTAAAAGTCCATTAAACATTACAAAATAGGTGCAGAGAAAACACGGACCTCCAAAACATCAGAGGTGGGATCAGGTGCCATGGAGGAGTGAGCATCCCCTGCCAACCGGTCACACTCGCCGTGTGCTCCTTGTCATGATCGGGAAATAACGGAAAAGTCCGTTGACAATTCAGTGTGTAAATAATGGCCTAACAATTAGTATGAAAAACGTCAGTCAGCATTTGACTCAATGATAAATTGTATTTGCTGACAAGGTCATTGTATCGACCATAGAACTTACGAAATGATGACTTTAAACGAGACTGCTAATATTCTTGTTTCATCAACTTGTTTGTCAATAATTTACCTCGTTTTGGAAATTGTACATACGTAGAGCATGCTCTTGCGTATCGAATCAACTGAGAGATATAAACCCTGTATGAAGGTGATGAAGGTATATTGCTGCATATATAAGTAAGAGAAGTTGACTATTGAAAAGTTAACGTCATAACGTTTATCATAAAGCTTGGTTGTTAGATTACCATTAACGTCCTTTTCAAGTGAAATATCCAAATATGAAACAGATGTGTCAGACTCTGTAGTATTTTTCATCTCAAGCTCACCGGGATATATCGTATCGACATAAGAATGGAAATAACCATTGTTAATTGACAATATGTCGTCGATATATCTAAATGTGGAGTTGAAGGCCACAGCAAGTGTTTTCTTCTTATCACGTATTTATAAGATTTTAGACAAATTCAGCTTCATATGAATACAAAAAAGGTCTGCTAATAACGGAGCGCAATTGGTACCTATGGAAATTCCAATAGATTGTTGGAAGACCTGGTCTCCAAAAACCACATAGATATTGTCAATCAGAAACTCAAGCATCTTTTTAATGTCAACTTCAGAGTACTTGTGCG